GGAGCCAAGCACAACGGATTAATCTACTACAAATGACTCTTGCAGATGGCTACAACTCCAATGTGCACACACAGACACAGAATCCACTTTAAAATGACAGACTGTTTTTGAAGATCATAAACAGAACACTTTCTTTCCGCCAATGGCTCTGCTCAAATGCCTCTTTCTTTAGTATTTATGATTAATTAAGCTTTAGTGACGAACACCTTAGCAATGCAGGAATAATTCAAAACTGCAATAGGATTTAGGACTGTACGTACTCATGTAAGATCCTAATTTCCAAACACATGTGTGTTCAAAACAGAGACTGTGCAGTGAATAGGTCATGGGGCATGCGCAGATGGCCTCAGTCCTTTTCCTTGTCACAACGTCTCACCCGTTCTCCAGTCTTATCGACTCAGTCTCACAACGCCTGCCCATGTGCGAAATGGAGGGGTCCGACGCAATGAGATGCATTCCCAGGAGGGCAAATATGACGAAATGCGACTAAAATATATAGTCATAAGCGCGCCTACTAAAATGAATATAGTAGATATTTAAGCGTAATGAAAACACCCCATTATGCAAATATTCGCTTCCGCAAGTGCACTACCAACATAAGCTAATTCAAGCGTAAAGTACACTTTCCCGTCTGCTATGCAGCCACACTAACAACAGCGGACTAACGGGCATCCAAATGAAGTCAAGTTCTACCTCCGTCGTTCGTGATAGGACTCCAGAAATCGCCTAGTTAGGTTTCACGTATATTCGATGCTTTAATTCCGAATACGCAGAAAATTTGTGGCATTTCGAGGCCTAGAGGCCTACCCGTCAATGGTTATGACATTGTTTACCATTGCATTCACAGCTCGTAGGCGAGATTTTTCTTGGAAATGGCGATAATAACAGAGCGAAACACTTACTTTGTTCGTAGATGCAGCCTCCCTTCTTACTCTTTGAATTTCAGGAGCGGCTTCTTCCACTGGCTGGGATGGCAGCTTCGCGTTTTCCTTGGAAAGCGAATCGAGGAAGTCCTCCGCCGACATGCCCATGATAATCAGGTTCTCCTTTTTAAAATACACAATTCAACTATATAAGCATTCTTCGTGGTAGAGATATGCATTAGCACATCCTGGGTAATACTAAAAAATCAGTTGACAGGAGGTAAGAATTTTGCACACGTAGAACTTAACTATCCGAACTATAAAGCATCTTTTCCCAAATGCAACTTTGAAGATGGCAAAAATAGCAGAAGTTAGTAGATCCATGAATTCCGAGAGTACTCTTTAGCTGCTACCTCTCATTGCTTAATGAGAGTAACGGATGGAAACGCAACTCTGCCAGAGGACTAGGAAACTTTGCTCTATGGATACGTTGAAAGCAGAATAAGCCTGTCTCGAAGATACTTTACTGAAGGGCCGATATCAAACTTAGCTATTAAACAATTACAGTAAACCTTCACGACCTAAAATTACGTAACATTTAGTTGGTAAAAAGCCTGCTTTCATACCCTTGCCCTTTAAGGGCGACAATATTTTAAATACCATCAAGAGACGCCTACTTAACGCCATCGAAAGAACATACTATGATATCAAACTCATATTTTGCGATCCCAGAAAGCCCTTACCAATTCCTTGTGCGAAGGATGCCTTATGATTGCACGCCACTTCCAGTTGTGTTTGCGGATCTACATGTGCTTGCGGAAGCAAGTACATAGGACGAACGCAACGGCGATTGACAGTCAGAGCCAAGGAGCACTTGCCTAGTTGGCTATTGAAACAGAAACATAAAACCTCTCGGTTTCTATTACTGGACACTTGCTAGATAAGGGTAATTCTGTGGACCCTTAAACCTCTTTCCGAGTACTTACTCGGGTATTAGCAACTCGTACCTTGCGCTACCTGGAGGTAAACAGGTGTGGTGAACATAACTTTGCCTAGAAACATCCGGCTCCCTGATTTACACAGTCCTCCGTCCACCTCTTCATTTTAACATTATTTTCCTATCTCCTTCTTTCCACATCGTTTTAACTCACTTTCTCTACTAATTAGCCTTTGTGACCATGCCCTATAACCGTATTGACCTTTCTGTAAGAATAAGCATAACAAGAGCCGATCTACGCTCAACTGATGCTGGAAACTCAAGTTCGCAACCAATTCACATACGGTTTGGCGACACTGGCCCGTTGGTCGCTTCCATAAACGCTCAAGGATGGAAAAAAGCCTCAATCAATTACAACCCAAGTCTTGGTTATGTGGAAGATGCAAATGTTTCCATTGGGAAGG